TTCTTATTAATTTTAATTATTTTTATTTTTATATAAATAAGGTGTTTTTAATACAGGCGCCTTAGTATTTAATATATTTTTATTTTAGTTATTATACTATTATTATATTTATACCTGCTTTTAAGTAATAAGGTAGGTCTTTTTATAAGTTATTATTTTCTTAATTACCTATGTAACTGCTTTTTTTCCTATAATTATTTAAATAACCTTTTAAATTTACTTAAACTAGTAACTAGCATGTTAAACTATAATATTTTTTTTTAATTATTAAGGTTTTTTTATAGACTATTATTTTTTAAGGCCTTTATTTATATTATTAAAATTATTTTTTTATTCCCTGCGTGCTTTAATAAGCCTAGTTCTTGCTTTTTTAGCCTAGCTAATTAATTTTATTAAATAAGTAATATTTACTTTATATTTTTATTATTTTCTTGCCTTTTTTATTATATTTTTATTAGCTAAGTTAAAATTTAAATACTTAATACCTAATATATATTACCTGCCTACCTTTTAGCTTTTTTAATTAAATATTACTATATAAACTTACCATGGTAAATTTTAATTATTTATGCTACTTTTTTAAGTTTAATTATATAATTTAACTTTTTTACTTTGCTTGTTAAGTTATTAAGTTATAAAAACTTATTTTATTTTACTTTTACCTAAATATAACGCCTTACCACTATTTTACTAAATTATTAAAGACCTAGGATATTAATATAGCACTTTAAACTAGGTTTATAATAATTAGCCTTATACTATATTTTTATATTAATTATAATTTTTTACCTTAGCTAAATAAGATTTATACCTATTTTTTAACTTTAGTTATACCTTTTTATTAATATTTCCTATTTATATTACTTGTTATTTCTGCTAGTAATCTTTAGTATTAATTAGTATTTTTTAACACTTTTTACTAGTGGTCCCTAGTAATCTTTATTACTAGTTTATAGTACTTCCTAGCGCTCCCTATTATTATTTTTATAACTTTTTATTAGTAATCCCTAGTAATCTTTTTATTACTTTCTAATAATTCTTAGTAATCCCTAGTAATCCCTAGCACTTTTTAGTGTTTTTTATTACTTTTTAATAATCCCTAGTAATCCCTAGCAATCCCTAACACTTTTTAGTATTATTTAGTAATTTTTAATACTCTCTAGTACTTTCTAGTAACCCCCAGTACTCCCTAGTAATCCTAGTATTTTTTAATAATCCTAGTACTTTTTAATATTTTTTAGTAATCCTAGCGCTTCTAGTACTTCCTAGCAATCCCTAGTAAACCCTAGCGCCCTTTAGCACCCTTAAGCGCTTTTTAGTAATACCTAGTAATTACTAACGCGCTTTAATAATCCCTAATATTTTTTAGTGCTCCCTAGTGCTATCTAGCACTTTCTAGCGCTCCCTTATAATACTAATGCTTCCTGGCACTTTCTAGTAATATATAATGCTTTTTAACACTTTTTAGCACCCCCTAGCACCCCCTAGCAAACCCTAGCGCCCTTTAGCGCCCTTAAGCGCTCTTTAGTAATACCTAGTAATTACTAGCGCGCTTTAGTAATTTCTAATATTCCCTAGTACTTTTTAGCGCTATTTAGTACTCCCCGGCACTCCCTAATAATACCAGCGCTTTTTAGTGCTTTTTAGTAATATATAATACTTTTTAGTACTTTTTAGCGCCCCCTAGCACCCCCTAGCGCTTTTTACTAGTAATCCCTAGTAATTTCCCTAGCGCTTTTTAATACTCCCTAGTGCTCCCTAGCGCTCTTTCCAGCGCTTTTTTTAGTGCTTTTTTTAGCGCTTTTTTTTAACACTTTCCAGTGCTTTTTTTAGCACTTTTTTTAATATTTTATAAAGCCCTCCGGCGCCTTTTAAGGCTTCTTAGCTATTTTTAGCACTTTTTAATGCTTTTTAACAAGTCCTAATGCTCTAGCGCCCTTTAATACTTTTTACTAGTATTTTTTATTAATTTTTTTTAATATTTTTTAATGTTATTTAGCGCTTTTTTTAGCGCTTTTTAATGCTATTTACTAGTGCTTTTTAATAATACCTAGCGCTTTTTACTAGCGCTTTTTATTAATATTTTTAAATTATAATACCTAGTAATTTCTAGTAATTACTAGCGCCTTTTAATACTTTTTAATAATATTTTAAGCTTTTTACTAGTAACCCTTAATACTTTTTTTAATAATTTTTTTAATAATCTCCTAGCACTTTTTTCTAAAACACTATGCTTTTTATTATATTTTTTAGTATTTTTTAGTGGTAATACCTAATAATTTTTTTAGTAAACTTTTACTAATATTTTTTAGTGTTAACCTCCAGCGCTTTCTTAAGGTGATTTTTAGTAATTTTTTTAGTACTTTTTACTAGTAATTTTTAGCGCTTTTTATAATGCTCTTTATATTTTTTTTTTATATTATTTTTTATATTACTTTTTTTAACACTTTTTAGTAATCTCCAATGCTTTTTACTAGTAATTACTAATACTTTTTTTAAAAATCTTTTTAGTAATCTTCCTATTACTTTTTAAAGGTAATTTTTAATAATTTTTATAGTAATCCCTAGCAATCTCCCTAGTGCTTTCTAACACTTTATAATACTTTTTACTAGCGCTTTTTACTAGCGCTTTTTACCAGCACTTTTTACCAGCGCTTACTAGTGGTACCTAGTAATCCCTAGTAATCCCTAGTAATCCCTAGTAATCCCTAGTAATCCCTAGTAATCCCTAGTAAT